CAGTACAGTACAGTACAGTACAGTACAGTACAGTACAGTACAGTACAGTACAGTACAGTACAGTACAGTACAATACAGTACAGTACAGTACAGTACAGTAAAGTTTTAAGTTGTGTGTTATCTATATTTTGAAACTAGAGCTGTGGTGTGTTCTGAAGTTCCTAAAAATTCAAAACCCGAGGATTGCGCAACATTTTTCAGGTAAAAATTTACCTTAGTAGTTTTGAAAATTCACAAAGATGTGTTGAGTTCTACTACATTTAAAGTTAAAAAAAGTTGCCACTTTCACAGTTGAAAATTTTGCTCGGTAAAAAATCTTACTTTTTGGTTCACCTATGTATTTCAATATTAAAAATATAGTTTTTGTTTGTTCGTTTTCAATAATGTATTTAAGATGATATCTAACTTCATGTAAGAATTTTAAAATGGCGTACATGTTGTTCTTAATTTTGAACAGATTGTTATGGATGTCCCACAATTTATTCATTTCCCCACATTCTGATGGTAATTACAAAGAAAATGTTATATATTGCGAACAAAATGTTTGATATTTCGAACAAAATGTTCAATATTACGAAGTAAATGTTCGATATTACGAAGAAAATGTTCGATATTATGCATAAAATATTAGAAATTACGAACAACATGTTCAATATTGCAAATAAATTGTTCGTTTTTATGAACAACAAATATGTTCTATATTTCAAACGACATCTTCAATATTTCGAACAAAATGTTCAATATTAGAAACAACATGTTCAACATTTCGAAGAAAATGTTTGATATCACGAAGAAAATGTTCGATATTACGAACAAAATGTTCGATATTACGAATAAAGTGTTTATTTTACGAACAAATATTCGATATTACAAACAAAATAAACATGCTCAATATTACGAACAATATGTTTGATATTACGAGCAAAATATTCGATATCACATACAAAATGTTCGATATTATGAACAAAATGTTCGATATTACGAACAAAATTTTCGATATTACGAACAAAATGTTCTTATTACGAACAAATCTTCGATATCATGAATAAAATGTTCGATATTACAAACAAATCGATATTACAAATAAATGTTCGATATTATGAATAAAATGTTCGATATTACTAACAAAATGTTCGATATTACGAATAAAATGTTCGATATTACGTTCAAATTTATTTGATTTTACGAACAATAGGTTCGATATTACGAGCAAAATGTTAGATATTACGAACAAAATGTTTGATATTACGAATAAAATGTTCATTTTACGAACATATGTTCGATATTAAGAACAAGTTTATTCGATTTTACGAACAAAATTTTCGATATTACGAACAAAATGTTGGATATTGCGAGCAAAATGTTCGATAATACGAATAAAATGTTCATATTACGAAGAAATAATCTATATTACAAACAAAACGTAAAAAAATTTAGTGAAATATTTAGGCAATATGATGCTGAAGATTGGAAAAGAAACCCTGGTAAGTTATATTGGAGGTATTATTGCGCTAGTCACTCTTATAGGGAACCCCCAATTGAAATGTTATCCTGTTTAGCTGATCAAATAAGGATATCTTATTCATCCTTGAAATGGTTTAAAAGGCACCGTTGTGAATCGAATATGTCTCTCAATAAATTTACTTAAAATTACGTTTGCAGTCCCTTTAAACCATGGCTTTAAAGCGGGCATTAGACTTAGTGGTGTCCTTCCGGTGGCAAAATTGATCTACAAGACTACACACGACATCTTTCAGGATTATTTCAACTTTCAAATTCCCCCCTCCCTTCCCGAGAAAGATTAGGGTAGATAATTATTAAATAAATGCGAAATTAGTAACAAGTTTAAAACATATAAGAAAAGAGAGTATTTGTGCAGGTGTCCTAATAAATAAATATTTTAAACATTTAGGAGGCTTCAAGTCAGTTTGTAGTTACACAGTTATATTTAAAACTGTTGAAGCTGCTACTGAGTTCCTAAACCTAGCTAAAGTAATGTATGGAAACGTTGAGTTAGATCGTCAAACTCAGCGGGATTACCACACTCTAAACAAAATGGGGAAACGGAACGTTTTGCTGGTTTCAGCTCAAAGGTTAGTTGATAAACTTTAATAATTTTGAAAAGTCCTTATCTGTCTATAGCTGATAAGTAATTCGACCCATCAGCCACAGTAAATACTAAGATGTAAGCCTAGAGGGGTGGGAGCCTGTTTGGATAACACACTTCATGGTAAGTATGATCCAGGGTCAGGAGGCATTTGGTCCAACTGCCGTATAGACTGTCACCGTTGACGTTGCATGTACGATTCTCGAATTTACAACGGTTCTGTAAAAGCTTTGTCTGATCAAGAATGAGTGAGATATTTATGTTTAACTCATCAAAAATTTATTATTTTCAATTTTGGTTTTTATACAGCAGTGCATCTCCCATTTATTCTTTATTACGTGATACAAAGGAATGAATTATCTGAAATAAACAGCAAACACTTCCATTAACACTTCCATTAACACTTCCATTAACACTTCCATTAACACTTCCATTAAAACAAATATTCAGACACCTAAAATGATCGGCCAATGGCCAAATTACTGTAGACAGTTTGATGCCTTTCACCTGGCTTATCAAAACAAACCCTGAAAGAGGAAGCTAGATTTTTTTTTAATTTAAAGATTTTTTGTTTTGCCGAAAAAAAAAATATTATAATTAAAGCAATATTTAGTTGATTTTTTTACACTGTGAAGAAAAATATACATGGAAAGGAAGTCAAACTTTAAAACGCCTTAATAATTTAATTAATTAGTACACTAAATTATGATGGAAGAAAGGCTTTCCCACTTCCGAGCCACATTTTCCTCATTTTCTCATCTGAGCCGCCTCCAAATTATTTTATAAATTAGACATCTGCGGCGGCTGCATGAGTTTGTTACAACAAAAACCGGTTTACTATCAGATTCTGTTCCTAGCGCACAAATGGTTCTCGTCTCTAGCTTCTCAAGACAAACAACGCATTCACAAGTAAGGAAGATTTAATTTAAACCCTGGTTGTCGTCTTTGTTTTAGTTTTGTCGTCTTTGTTTTAATTTTTTCGTCTTTGTTTTAATTTTGATCCTAGTATAAACTTAAAACAAACTCCACAGGGAGATTAATCAAGGAAGAGGCAGGGGAAACTTTCTCGAACCTCACAGATTGAAAGTTCACGAAACATTAATCATTTGTTTTAGTTAATTAAAGTTTAAAAATTTTAAATCTCAAGTGTGTGGTGCCCTCCCTTCTTTGATGCTGAAATGGGCGCGTTATGTTTTTTTTTAATTCGTTTGTTCATCGTTCGTTAACAACCCATTTCGTTCGTTTTTTTCAGTCGTGAGGATGTTTTTCGAAAAAAAATGTTCACAAACAACTTTTAAATCGTTCTTGAACGATCAAGGTCGTGAATAAGCGATTTAGAAATCGTTAACGATTTTAATTCCTTCGTTTTTTTCTTTATTTTTTCTTTCTCTTTTTTTCACACCAAAATTCGTTCATTTTGGAATATTTCGTTAACGAAAACACGACGCCCATCCATCCACACTCCACAGTTTAAAAGTCTCTTGTCTCATTATGTTGTTTTAAGGTAAGGCAGTTTGTATCTGATGAAGAAAATAAATTCAAGGAAATCAAATATCCAATTAAAATATTGAAAATGATAATGGGATAGATTGGTGGGTGGGTGGATACTGGGTAGGAAGGTAGGTGGGTGGGTAGGTAGGTTGGTTTGGGTGGGTGGGTTTTTGAGTTTTTAAATTTTTAAAATACTTAAACAAATAAATAAATAACTAAATTTTAAAATTTAATAGATAAATTAAGAATAAAAAATAGGATGGGTGGGTAAACAAATAAACAAATAAATAAATTTTAAAAATAAATAATTAGATAAATAAAGAATAAAAAATAGATAACTTAATTGACAAATAAATAATAGATTTGTAAGTTGACAGATGAATAGAAATAAATAAATTGTCAATTTACTAATGAATTAATGAATTGAAAAGTTGACAAGTTAATGATTGATAAATAAATTAGTTCATAAATGAACAAATGAATACAAGACTATGTGAAAGAATGAATAAATGAATTTTTCTTCCTCAACTTTCAAAACAAAGTACCCCTAATAAACCCTTCCACTATTTTCTCCAAAAAAAGAATCAACATTAAGGAAATTTTGGTTGGATTTTTTTTAAAGAATTTTTATCGCTTTATTGGGAAAAATGTGTTCTTTTGTAAATAAATGAAAATTGTTTTAAATGGATCCTGATTCAAGGATATTTCTGGGATATTTCGCATCGAAGACAATATGGAAGAAAATAAAGGAAGTGAAAACCGAAAGTTTCTTCAAAGATACGTCTTCCTCTTCAGTTCTGTTCAATCTGCTGAGATGTTTGTTCAATCCAAACTTGATTTTGGTAACACTCGGCTCAGGTATTGTTGATCTTTACTTTTGGAGTTTCAAAAATTTGATTTTGACGAAAAGAGTTTTCCCCAATTGAATTTAGTTTAAAGGGATTGTAGACGCAATTTCAAGTCACCCTGAAATCTAAGATAGCAATGTCTGATCTACAACGGTTCCCTTAAAAATTTGTCTGATCAAGTATGAATTAGATATCCATGTTTTTGTTTCTTAAAACTGTTTATTTTCATTTGCGGGTTCTTCTCTGCAAAAGTGACGTGTTCATTTCTTGCCTTTAAAAATCAATATAGAAATTATGAGAATTAAACAATTTGCAAGTCAGAAAAACGATGGTATATTCCATTGATCAGATCAAAGTTTTTAAGGGTACCGTTGTGAATCTGGCATTGTAATCTTAAACATGGAGGTTCCATTGAAATTACGCCTACAGTCCCTTTAAGAATGATTTTTTAAATCGCCTATCGCTTGGGTTTAGATTTTTAAGGTTGACTGAACAATAACATGAACTAGAGAAATTGATTCAAGTATCTGTACGTACTACGTAGTTCTTCCACGTCTCGCTGTTCAGGGCAACATTGTTCCGAGATCTAGAAAAGCACCTAAACGTGTTGGATCAGGTCAAGAACTTCATCGACGACGGAGAAGACGCCGAAGCCAGTCCAAAACAGAGAGCTGTTGTCCTTGGACACAATCCGGAATTAGGTTTGGATTCATTTTAAAAAAAACGAATAAAAAGTGTTTTGTCAATGATAGAGTTGTCTCAGGAACTAAAGACGCAATTTCAAGCAACCATTTATTTAAAGGAGTTTTTCATGAACATGTTTGATTTCAACAATTCCCTTTTTCCAATGTCTTTCCTGCATAAACCCACAAATTATTTTAAAAAGAAACCATATATTGTTCCCTATACAAATTATTGTTACATACTCGAGCCTTTAACAGTTAAAAAACCAAGTCGACTGGTTTTTACTTAACCCAAGTGCAACCAAAACTCTAGTCTTGACTAGAGTTTCCAGAGAAAAAGGAAAATAGCGAAAATTTTGCGAAAAAAAAATAATGAGAAAATTTCGCGAAAAAAAATAATGAGAAAATTTCGCGAAAAAAAAATAATAAACAAATTTTGTGAAAATGTGGAATTTAAAAAATGCAACATTTTTGCGAAAATTCATCAAAAAAGACAAAAATTTTCAGAATACTAGGCTATGCGAAAAAAGTTTTCGGGGGAATTATCCCGCTCGAAATATAAAGCGACATAATGTATAGGTTTAAGAACTTTTTCATCCTTTTTCATCTTTTTTATTCTTTTTCATCCTTTTTCATCCTATTTCATCCTATTTCATCCTTTTTCATTCTTTTTCATCCTTTTTCTTCCTTTTTTATTCTTTTTTATCCTTTTTCATCCTTTTTCATCCTTTTTCATCCTTCATCCTTATTCATCCTTTTTCATCCTTTTTCATCCTTTTTCATCCTTTTCCATCCTTTTTCATCCTTTTTCATCCTTTTTCATCCTTTTTCATCCTTTTTCTTCTTTTTTCATCCTTTTTCATAAAAAAATCATTCATCCTCCTAAAAATCATAGATATTTTACAAATGAGCAAGGAAACCCTAAAAAATATATTGAGCTCCGCACATACATCCCTAACTCCTGCGGAGGCGGAGAAAAAAAATTTCGAAATGTACAATCAAAAACAAATTATTTTTAAATATTTTCCATCATTACATTTATTTTAGATCCAACGGATGAGTTTGAAGCTAAATTGCGGAAACACTTGAAATCGGTTCGTGGGATGTTTCTCTGTGCTTCATCTTGTATTGTGGGAGGACAAAACAAGGAAATAATTTAAATATTATTTTACAACAACAAATTTCAAAATTTTTGATAGAAAACCCAAAATTTCAATTTCCAATGGTTACATTATATTCACAATCCCATTTTTGGCAAATTTCAGTTAATACTTTATGATACAATTTTAAAGAAACAATATTCGTATAAATCCAAAATTAAAAACATGTTAAATGCATTATGGACCTAATTTGAGATATTTTAACGGTGAATCTGTAACGGTTGGAAATAAAAAATTTATGGAAATTGGGCGTATTGTTATTAAATTATTAAATTGCAGTACATCGTGACATTTAAAAACGTAATGGCGGCTCGGAGCGCAACAAAATCGGAGAATATTGAATCTGAAGCGTTTAAATCTCGTCTTCTTATCTACTCTCTAGGTATTTTTATTTCATAATGTATTGAAGAAAAGGATTCGCTTCCTTTTTTGAATTGTATCCAGTCAAAGCTGGGTTTCCAAGTTATTTTACAAATCACGAATGAACAAATTATGTGATGCTTTTAAAGTTTATTAAGCTTATTTAATATTTGTTACAAAGAATACAAAGATTTTCAATGGTTTCTTTTATTCGGAAAAAAAACATGCATTTTGTCAAAGGGAAATTAAAGAGTATATTAACCCATGAAGGGAAGGTAGGTGACGTAATCTGAGGCCGAATTTAAAGAATTTGAGCCACGGCTTAAATTTAAGCCGCGGCTCAAATATGTTTGGTTTCATTTAAAATTGTATTCAATTTTTCAACATTTGAGCCGGCGCTCAATTAAAACCGGCTTTTGTGGAATTTGAGACGCGGCTTAAATTCATTAAATTCGGACACTGTTTATAGAGTTACATGTCCTATTTACAACGGTATCCTTAAAACATCTATCTGATTACCATTGAGAAAATTATTCTCGTTTTCTATCTTAAAAGTGACGATTCTGTTTATTTTCTTCCTTGTCCTTGCAGCATAAATCCGCAAGACTCTTTTTAAAGAAACCACAAGTGAAATAAATCAATTCTAAGGTTGTAAAATAAGGGTTTAAAGGATACCATTGTGACTCGGACATCCCACTTTTCAAATGTAGAACCAGTCGAAAATACGTCTACAGTCCCTTTAAGGGTTCAGTGGCCCTTTTAACAAAGGCACTTTTCTGTACTTTGGAAATATCAAATTAATGCAATTTGTATAGGTGGATCTGTTTCAACCAGCCATGATGTATTTTTTACCCATCTGGAAGCAATCGAAAATTTGATAAAAATTGAGTTTCCAGGTGTTTCATGGCAAAGCACTGGCTCATTTATAACTTAATTTTTACAAAATTGTTGTTTATTATTGTTTTTTTTGTTTTGTTTTTGGATATTTTATATTTTGAATTTTGGTTTTTCTCAGATTATATATTCCATATGAAGTATGAGACACATAAAACCTAGGTTGATCATTTTAGGAAAGTATTGAAAGTCTTCTGAGTGTTTCTTTGATTGAGCCAGTTGTTAGCCATGATAAGCCGGGCGGTGCCGACCATAGCACTAACTATCGGGATGTGCTTTTTCGAGCAATCTCTGTCTTTTTTACAGGATTGAATCCTGTGTACTTTTACGTTAAGTAAAAGGTTTTTAAAAAAAACATCTGAAATTATTATCATGTTCTAGATGAATATTTGAGGATTAGAGAACGATTAATGATGATTAAACGAAGAACCAAGCCAAAATTATTGTAAGTAAAGAACGGGAGTGTTCATGAAAAATGTATTATTTTAAGGGAGTATTCATGATAAATGTAAAATTTAAAGGGAGTGTTCATGATAAATGTAAAATTTAAAGGGATTATTCATGATAAATGTAAAATTTAAAGGGAGTATTCATGATAAATGTAAAATTTAAAGGGATTATTCATGATAAATGTAAAATTTAAAGGGATTATTCATGATAAATGTAAAATTTAAAGGGAGTATTCATGATAAATTTAATATCTTAAGGGATTGGTCATGAAATTGTAGTTCTATATGTATTTAATATGATCTTAGTTCCATATGTATTTATTTAACCTTCTATATGTATTTATTATGACCTCAAATCCATATTTATTTGTTTAACCTCCTATATGTATTTAATATGATGTTAGGCACTTACCCAAAGAATTTTTCCCAAGTTTCAATTTCCAAAGGGTAATTTCCCAAGTTGCAACTTGCCAAATGTGCAATTTCCCAAGCGGCAACTTCCCAAGTCTGTCTTAGCCGCAGCGCTCGGCCACCAGCCTGTTCTAGCCTAGCGCTCGGCCCGCTAGCCCATCTTAACCACCGCGCTCGGCCCCCATTCCCTTTGGGAAGTTGCCACTTGGGAAATTGTCACTTGGGAAGTCACCCTTGGGAAAATGCATTTGGGAAAGTACCTAACACCTTTAATATGACTGCAGTTCCACATGTATTGATTTGAACCTCTATATATATTTAGTAATATTAGTACCATATTTGTTTATTAGGGATTCCTCCTGCAACAATTATTACGAGTGCTTCAAAGTTGAGGATGAATCAATTTTGAAAATAAAGGAAAACACAAGATCAAATTAATTTCATTATTATGGTCGATTTAGGAAATATCCACCTATCCAAGTGAACCCTCGGTGTAAGAGTTTCATAACAGATTTACAACGATACTTCTCAACTTTTTATTTAAGTAACAAAGACTCCTTAAATGGCTCGAGTCTTTTATTTAATTTAACAGGCCTTGTAAGATTTATTTAAGAATGAATACTCTTAGAGGATTTTTTCCTTGGTTACCTTATTTGATTTGATCCGATCTTCTCTGATCTGATCTGGAATACCCTTAATCCCGATCGCTTAGTTTTGATATCCTCTGTGGACACTTTTGATTTTCTGCTTAATCCTCTCTTTTTGGATATCAGTGATTTCTCTGTTCTCTTTGGATATCAGTGATTTCTCTGTTCTCTTATTGGTTGAAACCAAATGTCCTGGCTTCTGATTAGCTATTATAGTTGCGCACACTTCAGGATATCGAATAAAGATTAAATCAGATTAACAAAAGATTGAGATCAAGTATTGATCTCGTTATCCACAATACAAGAATTCCCAGCTCTGATCCGATTCGATTCGATTTGGTTTTTCTTATGATGTACAAATTAACTAGACATTGAGTTCGAACATCTTTTTGGAATTGATTTAGATTTTTTAAGGCGCATTTTTGAGACTATTTTTAAATGCTATATTCGTGAATTTTTATTTTGTGTTTTAAAAAATAGATTTTGAAATATAAATGTAGTTCAACCCAGACAACGATAACTGTAAAGCATCAGATCCGGTCCGGAGACAGAATGCAATTATTAGGTACAGTCATAAATAGAAAGACCTGGAATTAATGGACAGTTAATCAGGGGACTATAACAATTTAAATGCTCAAAAAGGCAGACCGCATTTTGGAAATGACAGGACTAGAGCGATTAAATTGATTATCGTTCTATTAATAAACTTTGTCAAATTCAATTGTAAAGTTGTCTGATTAATTGTAAATTCCGAGACTGGTATAGTTTATCGGAGGACATTTTTTTCCCACAAAAACATTACACACAACCAACAAGCCTCGTCGGAAACAATATAAAAGAACCCACCGACTCAAACTATCATTTTCTAATCACTATATTACATATTATATATCACATTACACACAACCAACAAGCCTCGTCGGAAACAATATAAAAGAACCCACCGACTCAAACTATCATTTTCTAATCACTATATTACATATTATATATCACATTACACACAACCAACAAGCCTCGTCGGAAACAATATAAAAGAACCCACCGACTCAAACTATCATTTTCTAATCACTATATTTTTTCACCTTGATTGTGTAATCCTTTGATATTTCAAATTTTATCTTTTTGCACTACTAGATTTCATAGTTTAAATGATTAGGTTGCCAAGATATAGTGATTTGAAAATGATAGTCAAGAAATCATTTTCTTGTTCTGTTTCTTAGTATTAGCAGGTGACCATAGGTTACTTAAATGCTCTTATAGGTTACTTAAATGCTCTTAGTATTAGCAGCTGACCATAGGTTACTTAAATGCTCTTAGTATTAGCAGCTGACCATAGGTTACTTAAATGCTCTCCCTGAATAATCATGATCAACCATCATTTTTCAGCCTTAAAAAAAATATTTCTGGCAACTTTTGGATCCCTCAGTATAGTTTATTTATGAACAATGAATTATTTATGCAAAGATGGAAATAAATGAAATTGCATCACAGGCATTGAGCAATTCTTGCATTCTAGTTTTCTTTGAACAATAGCTTATTCTTTTAATTTGAAATTTGCGGATCCAATAAACTATGTTTTTTCTGTAGGATTGGCACCGGGAGAGTTCGATGATTTGGTAATCTGCAAGTTCTCTAGTAAGCATTTTCTTCTTTTTTGCTACAGCCCAGATTTAATTTGATTTGATTTGATTTGATTTGATTTGATTTGATTTGATTTGATTTGATTCCTGCTGGGTTTTTAATTTCCGGCTTCTGATTGACTGTCCAGTTTATGCAAACGACACTCTGATTGGTTTAGTTTTAGACAGTTTTCTGGATATCAAAATAAAGATTATATTAAACCGCAGATTAACAAATTAGCATTGATCTCGATATCCACAATTCTAATGTTTTCAGCTCTGATTTGATTTGATCTAATTTGTAGAGGGGAAAGTGCATGGTTTGAAGGGAGAGAGGATACCGAAAACTAAGGAAATATTGGCCTATATGAAGGATAATCACCCTGGTTATCTCAAGGTTCATGAGTTCAAGAAAGGTCTATTTTTTATCAGGTAAATCAGAAGAAGGGAAATGTTTCATGTTATATCAGGGGGTTGGGGTTGGGGTCGAATCCTCTGCCAAAAAGAAATCTGAACAATCTTTCTCTTAAAAAAAAATAAGAATAACTTATTTCCAGATTTGAAAACAGTGAGAGGGCTGAAGCATTCCACGATCTACCATACTGTTACTATATGGTAGGACTTCTTTAAAGGAGGGATACTAGCATTAAACATTTTCTTTTCTTCAAGATACAAGCTCAGTCAAATAAATATTAAAACGGCGTCGTCATGTAATTTACATTTTTTAATCTAATTTTTATTATTTCTTATAATCCTAAAATTTTATCAACATAGAGTCCGAATTTGATGAATTTGAGCCGCGTCTCAAATCCCTTAAAAGTCGGTTTCAATTGAGCGCCGGCTTAAATATTGAAACATTGAGTGGAACCAACCATATTTGAGCCACCGATTAAATTTAAGCCGCAGCTCAAATTCTTTAAATTTGGCCTTAGGTTGCACATTGGACAGCAGCATAGGAACAATCGCAAAAGTGTATTCTCAATTTTATTGCTGGTTTATTTATTTAACCAAAGAACGAGAAAATTAAATGATAATATTTGGCAACTTTTTATACATTAATCCTAATAATAGTTAAAATAATAATAGCCAGTCAGCTATTATTCCATGAAAATAATAATATCCAGTCAGCTATCATTCCGCAAAAATCAAGCTCAGCTGATAAATTATAAATAAATCTATTTTATAATTTTTTTCGGATTTTGAAATATACTAGTTTTAGGACTTAAAAAATAACATAATATTGTATTTCTTTAAAAAACAAGAAACTGGCCACTCGCAGAATTTCATCATTTTATAATACTGATGTCTTTGCAACCTGTATTTATATTTTAAACTTTGATCATTTGATCTAGTAGGACTCCTGTGTCATTAGGATTAGAAAATTAAAGTTGAGTCGAGTTCTATTATGTTTTCCCTCTCAAAGTTAAGTTGGAACGGTAAAAAAAAACTTTAAATAAAATTTAAAATCTTAACTTTAAAAAATCAGGAATATCCGGTGGAGAGGTTCCGAATCTGGGATTATTTGGGAGATAATACTATGGCATCTTTATACCGCCATGAGATAACCCCTCATCTTTATCCAGAAAGGTAAAAACCCTTTTTATTTTTGCGAACAATCCCTTTAAGAAATTCTTAACCAGAGATCAAAACTTTTGCGTAAAAAAGTAACAATCTCTTGTTAGATACTTTGCCAGGTACCTAGTTTCCAGTGATAATTTACCAGGCGTTACTTTGCCATGTTGCATATGACAAAGTTTCCATGTTACATAAGACAAAGTGTCAATGTTACATATGTCAAAGTTGCCATGTTACATATGACAAAGTTTCCATGTTACAAATGACAAAGTTGTCATTAATGACAAAGTTGTCATGTTACATATGACAAAGTTGTCATGTTACATATGAAAAAGTTTCCATGTTACAAATGACAAAGTTGTCATTAATGACAAAGTTGTCATGTTACAAATGACAAAGTTGTCATGTTACAAATGACAAAGTTGTCATGTTACAAACGACAAAATTGTCATGTTACATATGACAAAGTTGCCATGTTACATATTACAAAGTTGCCACGCTACATATGACAAAGTTGCCATAATAAATATTACTAAGTTGCCATGTTACATAATGCAAAGTTGTCAAGTTACATATGACAAAGTTTCCATGTTGCATAAGACAAAGTGTCCATGTTTCATATGTCAAAGTTGCCATGTTACATATGACAAAGTTTCCATGTTACATATGACAACGTTTCCATGTTACAAATGACAAAGTTGTCATGTTACAAACGACAAAGTTGTCATGTTACATATGACAAAGTTGTCATGTTACATATGACAAAGTTTCCATGTTACATATGACAAAGTTTCCATGTTACAAAAGACAAAGTGTCCATGTTACATATGTCAAAGTTGCCATGTTACATATGACAAAGTTGTTATGTTACATATGACAAAGTTTCCATGTTACATAAGACAAAGTTTAAATGTTACATATGTCAAAGTTGTCATGTTACATACGACAAAGTTGCCATGCTTTATATGACAAAGTTTCCATGTTACAAATGACAAAGTTGTCATTAATGACAAAGTTGTTATGTTACATATGACAAAGTTTCCATTTTACATATGACAAAGTTGGCATGTTACAAATGACAAAGTTTCTTTGTTACATATGAAAAAGTTTTCATGTTACATGGTCACTTGACAAAATGGTCACCTGGCAAAATAGTCACCTGACAAAATGGTCACCTGACAAAATGGTCACCTGGCAAAATGGTCACCTAGCAAAAGAAAGTGCTTAATCCCTGCCATGGTTTCTGACACGGAATATCAGAGAGAAATTAATTTTATCCTTTATACTTCAAAAGATACAGATACCTGCTTGACCCAGAGATTAAAATTATAGTTTTGACAAAAGTATTCATTGCTTGAGTTATTGCAGGGACAAGTTTATAAGCGGAGCTTATGTTGGCATAGACGTGATAGGATTCAAACATATGGAGGTGAATTGTTTCAGGCTTAAGATTCAAGATTCTATCAAACTGAATTATAACTAAGTCAATTTTAAGGTTCTTTTTTATTTTACCAGGAACCCGCTGATTATCTTAATGATCTAAGATTTTTAATATCTCATGTTCTGAATAAATTAAGTTCTTTTAATTTTTTAAAAATTTTTCTTTAACTTTGCTGTGGTCAAATATTTTGCTAGTGAATAAAATAGTTTCAGCCGTATTTTTAGTTTTTATTATTTTTTCTTACTTTTGCTTAAACTTTGCCTTAGTCAAATATGTTGCTATAGTGAAAAATTAGTTTCAAGTCTTATTTTCACTTTTTAATTTTTTTGTACTCTTTCTGAAACTTTGCTGTAGTCAAATATTTTGCGAGTAAAAAAATAGTTTTAACCTTATTTTAAGTTTTGAAAACATTTTTTGTTACTTTTGCTTACACTTTTCTTTAATCAAACATTTTGTTCGTGAAATGAATAGTTTCACAATTATTTTAAGTTTATAAAATCAATTTTTCTTTTGCTTAAACTTTCCTTTAGTCGAATATATTGCTATTGAAGAAAAAAATCAAATCGAATCAGAGTATCTAAATTCTTAAATGATAATAATCTTAAATTAATAAGGATTCTGAGAAGAAAGCTACCGAGGATAAGATGATGATGAAGATGAAAGATGTTCCAGTTAGGTAATAAACAAATACAATCAGAGCTGGGATTTTTTGTGTTGGATGTATATAATCCCGATTGTTTGATTTCGATATGCACTGAGAACACTTTTGAATAAATTTAAGTTGAAAGTATTTGAAATTTGTTTCCGCATACGAAACTCTGATTGGTTGAATTTTAGACACTTTATGTATATCGAATAAAGATTCAATAAGTCTGTATATTAACAAAAGATCGTTTTCTTTTTGGATCGTTTTATCTTACATGTTTTATCTTGCATGTTTTATCTTACATGTTTTATCTTAAATGTTGTATCCAGCGTTTCGGATCCGGATCCGGATCCGGTCGGATCCGTATCAGAGTCAGGATCCGGATCCATCATCACATCCTTACACAATGCCAAATTTGTACTCTGAATGAAAGTGTAGTCATAAAACGAACCAACTTAGCTTAGCACACATCAATAATCCCGAGATTCTTAATTCTGGTCAAAGGATTATATATATTTATCTTAACTTTAACATTAACACATTAACATACATTAATATTAACATAATCTTTGTTTTTGAAGTAAACAATTCATTAAAGTTTATGGTTGTCAGTATATAAAGATAACATTAACATTAACATTAACATTAACATTAACATTAACATTAACATTAACATTAACATTAACATTAACATTAACATTGACTTTAAACAATTCAATAAAATTTGTGGTTGTCAGTATATAAGGTTAACATTAACATTAACATTAACATTGACTATAAACAATTCAATAAAATTTTTGCTTGTCCTTATATAATGTTAACATTAACATTAACATTAACGTTGACTATAAACAATTCATTAAAGTTTATGCTTGTCAGTATGTTAGCATTAACAATAACATTAACATTGACTTTAAACAATTGATGTTTATTTATATGTTAATATCAATTAACATTAACATTTGTATGTTAATATTAACACTAATTATATTTATTAAATCTTCAATGGTCTCATTTAGAGCCTCTAATGAACTTAGCTTAGCGCACATCAATAATCCCGAGATTCCTAATTCATAAGTTTTGACTTCTATATTATTATGTTCAGAAAATTGATGTGGGTTGGAGAGACTGAAAATCCTGTTCTTAGGATTATTATTCATGAGGAAGTAGAGGTTGTGGTTAAGTAAGTGTTTTTTCATGTGTATATATATATTTTTTTTTAATATTAATTTTAAGTAAATTGAACATCAAAAAGTAAGTACTTTTTGATACTTTTTACTCAAAAATAAAATGTGTTACCCTGAAAACAAATTTTTTTTCAATTCAGCGAATAAACCCTTTAAAAAAAATTATTATCTGAGGTGAAAAAAATAGATTTTTTAAAGCGGGGGGGGGGGGTAAATACAAAAAGTAATATAAGAGGTGTTCAAAAGTTTTTCTCATTCTTAAATTCAGATGAACTTTACAGCAGTTACCTTAAACATGGGCCAATCGGACCCCTTCTAGTTACCTTAAACATGGGCCAATCGGACCCCTTCTAGTTACCTTAAACATGGGCCAATCGGACCCCATCTAGTTACCTTAAACATGGGCCAATCGGACCCCTTCTAGTTCTGGCCTTTTTGAAGAAACGATGTTACACAATTGATTTTAGCAGAAATTTATTCATCATTTATCTTTTTTTAATTTTCATATTTTTTTTAATTGGTGAATATCTAAGATGTTATCTAACACTTTTAAGTCGATAAAATGTCGAAAAACTATTATTAATTTTTGAATGATGAAAATCTAGAACATTTTTATATAAAACAGGGACTGAATTTTTCTAATTGGAGATGTTGGTGAATTATTTATACCACCATCAAAATCTGAATTATTAATTCAAATCCCTTAATAATATTTAACTTTGAATCGGTGACTCAGGATTTGAACCGGCGGTAAATTGTTCAACAACCTTTTCAATTCATAAAATTTGGTTCGTGGTTTTTTTATTCTTAAGAGCTCTCTAGAAAAACGCAGAGTGACTAACTAATTATGAAAAGTCAATGACAACCTAAAATTATTTGGGAAATGCATTCGAATATTTAAAATAAAATTAGCAAAATTACTAACTCATAGTTACTCCCACTGTTTATCCGCCTTGGTCTTAAAAAACGTTCGTATGGTTGCCCATGAAATTTAATAATTCTATAATTTTTTAGCCTATTTCACCCCGGGTACCCATTATGTTTGGGCGTATATGAATTGCTTTCAAAATGAAAATGTAAAAAGATGGAAGTTTTTTTATTTAGGCAGATTAAGGTATTTGTGAACGATCCTGACAGAAACAAGCTGCAGTTTCTTTTGTACAAGGAACGTGTTTATTATCCTAACAACCATTTTTCTTCGTATATTATATGAAAGTTACAGATATGAGATTGGTCGGTTTTCTCTATTTTTATTAGTTGATTTTTAAGAAATTTTAAAAATTGAAATGTTTTCGATGGCTAAAACTTTTTTAGATCTTGTGAGGGTTCTACATTAACTTGGAACCGATCGGTTCAGCCGTTTTAACCATTATTGGATAAATACAAACAAATGTATATGAAGAAAAGTTAAATCAGATTTATCTTTAAATACCCCCCCCCCCCTCTTAATGATTATCCATACATACATTTGTTTCACCCTATTTAGCCACAAATTAAATTCCATTTTCATTTAAAATTATTTATTTTTTAACTTAATGAATGCGTTAAAAAGGAATCTCAAGAAAACCTGGAGAAAAGAAAAAGAGAAGAATCGAGGAAGAGACCATGTTCTGAATCAGATCCTGTATCCAGCAAAAGACGATAAAAAATACGAATGAAAATCTTTAATGGAGAAGATGCCAAAAGTGTGTTTTTCTGTGAGTTTCTTCATTGAATCCGCAAATAAAAATAAACAGTTTAAAGAAACAAAGACATTGATATCTAATGCATAATTGATAAGACAAAGGTTTCAAGGGTACCGTTGTAAATCGGGCATTGACATCTTAGCTTCAAAGGTCTCTTGAAATTACACTTGCAGTCCCTTCATGGCACTTGTAAATGTAATTTCAAGTCCAATGCTGTTTTTAAAATTGGAATAATCATGTTTATTTTCTGTGATTCCCGGGAAAATTTTTTTTTTATAAAACTGTTTGCGTTAAAAGTTATCAACAACTACACACGTTCCTGGGGTGACAACATCATCCTTGGTCCGACAAAAGTTTGAAGAGTACCATTGTGAATCGGACAATTCGCGGGTCATTTGAAATTACGTGTACAGTCCCTTTAATGAAGTTTTGTATCCAGCATTTATTTTCACGTGAACCAGTTCTGCGTTACTTAAAAAAAATTTTATTTTAACAGAAATGTCGGTTCATTACTAAACTTTTTCTGAATGATATTTTTTTATGTTTAATTCTTGTCAACCAAAAAATACTTATTTTCGTACTTGCTGGAAACCTATTTAAACTTGTTTTATTTTCTAATGTTTTGTTCAACTTTTTATTTGTATTTCTTATTGTACTTGTACCTTAGACATTTTGGTTACTTTTTTTCATGACAACGAGTTCTGGTTCATGTACATCTATTAACTGTAGAAGTTTCTTTATTTCTAGATTCGATGTCTTTACAGATATTAAAGAAATTAGGTTTTAATTTTATTCAAAAGATTATCCTGAGGAAACCATTTTAATTGATTTTCAAGACGTTTTATTAATCCTTCTGGGCTAGTTGTTTCTTCAAAAGATGTGTATTGTGTTTTTTATATCAATTCAATCTGGGCCGAAATTTGTATGCTCTTTTGTAACCCTTGTATCTCGTAACTAAATCCATAATTGTTCTGGATCTTTACAAGGATAATTTGTAAACTTGTTTAGTTTGTTAGATTTGTTAATTTTCTCCCTTTTCAACATAATCTAAATATTTCAAATAAATAATTTAAAATCACTAACAATAGATTTCAACCCCTTAATTATTTAAAGCAATTTTACAATTTTTTGTTGTAACACCTTTTCAATAAAATGTCTAAACATTTTTCCAGATATTTTATTTTGTGCTTCAAAGTAAAATGATGATATAAACCTGTCCTTTATACCTGAATACAATATTTTTCCAGATATTTTATTTTGTGCTTCAAAGTAAAATGATGATATAAACCTGTCCTTTATACCTGAATACAATATTTTTCTCTTCTGAACCTGTTCAGTATATTCGAATAAATCTACGGATGATACATTTTAAACTTTCAAACTCTAATTTGATATATATTCCTGATGATATCTTTTCTCCTCCATTTTGTTAATTCCCAGGATTGGGAGTAGTTTAAGTGCTGATTATAATGCGCGACTCATCTCAGACAAGATAAAGAAATAAAGAAAATAGATAGCGTGACTTCATCCCATACATCCAATTTATCCTTCCATCATATTTTTCCTATTCATCCATTGCATCCTTTTCTCATATTCATCCCATACATTCCTTGTATTCTTTCATCATATTCATCCTATCCAATATCCATCCATTTTATCCTTCCATCATATTCATCCTTTTCATTCATTTTATCCTTCCATCATATTCCTCCATTTTATCCTTCCATCATATTCATCCTATCCATCTTTTTCATCCTTCCATTATATTTATCCTATCCATCCATTAGATCCTTTAATCATATTCATACTATCCTTCCCATCATATTCATCCTATCCATCCATTTTATCCTTCCACCATATTCATCCTATCCATCCATTTTATCCTTCCATCATATTCATCCTATCCATCCATTTTATCCTTCCATCATATTCATCCTATCCATCCACCTAATCCTATCCATCCATTTTATCCTTCCATCATATTCATCCTATCCATCCATTTATCCTTCCATTATATTCATCCTATCCATCCATTTTATTCTTTCGTCATATTTATCTTATCCATCCATTTTATCCTATCCATTATATTCATCCATGTTATCCTTCCATCAAATTTATCTGACCCAACCTGATCTAACCCCCCCGGATATAGAAAGAAAATTACGGTTGAAAACGAAAACGAAACGGATGGGTAAAAACAGCAGCTTTCGTTCTTTTTTCGGCTATAATTACAGGAAACTTGCCTAAAAAATTATGTTTTTGATGTTTATAGATGTCTTCAGTCGTTAATAAAATTGTGATTGTTATCTAACGGTAGTTTTAAAAAACGGAAAATACCGTTAACAAACCGTTCGGTCGGATGAGTCGGATAAGATGGTCAAATAAACAAGGAGCACACAGTCACAAAAACATTCATCTGGAAACTATCGCTAAAACTTATCCAGAGATTATGATTGGTACTTCTTAAGTCTAAAATAGCGACCTGGAGGAGGGAGGGACGCCATGAGCCTCCACCACCAGACAGCACAGCTTTTTTTAAACCTTGGGTTTTATGTGCATAAAAAATGTTAACAATTTTTTTGACGTAGTGGCATAAGAATCAAGAATTAAGATTAGAGTTAATTATTAATTGTCACGATTACATTATAGATTATAACATTTGTCCTAAAACTTTAAACATTTCTTACGCAGAAAAGGAAGATAAATTTTCCCATTTTTCTCTAAAACCCTTGAAGCACTCCAAAATCCTGGGAGCAGCCACCCCTCCCTCGGTCAACAAGACTCAGATAGAATTTGTACTATATAAATGCGTATTTCTTTACACTGTGCACATGGAGCTGGTTCAGGACAAGGTACTAATGCAAGGAAAGTTAATTACGGTTGTGTATACTCTGCGTACATATTGAAACCAGTTCTCTCTGGGCGGATTTTGTAAACAAGAATAGATGCATCGGTGTTCGTTTAGTATCCGAGGTGGTTAAAAGCATTAAATTTTGATCATTTTGATAATTCACATAATAGTTTCCTATGACCAGAATATTTCATTGATTATTTTTGTGAAAATGGATTCCATGTCAGGCTGTGGAATCCGTCTTGTTGTTACTTTTCCACCCAAAGACAGTACACTGCAGCAGTACAAAAAATGCGTACACCTCTGAAATAACTTTCCTTGCATTAGTACCTTGGTCCAGGATTTTTTACTTGGCATTTTAGTTCCGTCTATTCAGGTCTTTGGTGGGATAATTATAATCATAGAGAATAAATAGAATATATATTAGAGAGGAATTTAGACAATCCTTCAGTATGAATTTTGTCAGTCCCTTTCATCCTGAAAAGGAATTCAAAGTGTAAAAATCATGTAACTGTTCACAAATTATACGCAGTAGAGTACATTAATAAAGTATGTTCCCTAGACTACATTTCAAAAGCTGTTAAATAAACTTTATAAAATGAATTAGGTGAATAAAAAACATCATTTTATTTATAGTTATAACGGAAAATCATCGTTTGTAAAGTGAAAGGCATAGAGTCTATGTGAAATGATCATTGGTCAATTATGAAACCAGCCTATTTCATAATTTGGTTTACTTTTAACATTAATTTTAGATTTTCTATAAAATGATATTCCAGGGCCCAAAAGGTTATATAACATAAATATGTGAAGTACAACCTGCAGTATGGAACAGTACAACAAAATGGCCGTTTTACACTTTTTTCTAGTAAATTCCACTCTAATATATATTCTATTCTCTTTGATTATAATAGAAGATATGACACCAAAAAATTAAAATCCCTGCGGAGCCTCTTTCAGAAAATCCATTTTTTTAAATCGTTAAACTAAGTTGCATTTTCAGGTCTTAATTCAACATAACTTTGGTGGCATGGCTTTATTCAGTTTATTGAGTGTTCTTTGCAATATTTTTGAACTGTAAAAGTGAGAATCCCTAAATTTGTGACTTCTGACACAGTCATAAAACATTTTTTGACAAAAAACAGAAGCCCTAATTTAACTGCCTCGCCTAACTGCCTAGATATTGCCTGAAAAAGTCTAATTCGTGATTTTGTCTGATTTCTCCTTAAAACATTTTTCAGACAGTTAACTTAGGGCTTTGATTTCAGAGACAACGCGAATGAAGGACAATTTGTTTAGTTTTTATTATTTTATTCATGGTTTCCTCTATTTTCAACATTATTTAGGACATCTGTTAATGTCTTTCCAAGCCCAGGCCCCTGAAGTTTTTAGGCCACCATAATTCTCAACCATTGTGCACTGCAACCCTGTAACCATATCCTAAATTTAGGATTACTTTTTTCTTTTGTATCTGTCAAGTTTAAAATGGTGCCACTTATACGCCATGGGGTGACTGAGGTTTAACTTTTAAACAATTAAAGCAAAAAAACTTCCTGATTGATTTTAGAAGTTCTAGTACTTTCATTTTCTGTTCAAATATCATGAGCATAGAGAATAGAATATATAGAGAGAGAGGAATTAAAAGAATCTCTCGGTATGAATTTTTTCAGTCCCTTTCAGCCTGAAAGGGAGTTCAAAGTGTACAAATCATGTAAATGTTCACAAATTATATGCAGTAGAGTACATTAATACAGTATGCTCTCTAGAGTATTCATTTCAATTTCGAATTTTTTAAACTGTTAAATGAACTTTATAATGAATTAGGTGAATAAAAACATCATTTGATTTATAGTTATAACGGAAAATCATCGTTTGTAAAGTGGAAGGCATAGAGTCTATGTAAAATGATCATTGGTCAATTATGAAACCAGCCTATTTCATAATTTGGTTTTCTTTTAACAAGAATTTTAGATTTTCTATAAAATGATATTCCAGGGCCCAACAGGTTATATAGCATAAATATGTGAAGTACACCTGCAGTATGGAAACAGTACAACAAAATGGCCGTTTTACACTTTTTTCTAGTAAATTCCTCTCTATATATTCTATTCTCTATGATCATGAGCTTTATGTAAGACATATTGAATGTCTAACTGAATATGTGGTTTGTCTCAGGGAAGATTTTAAAAATAGTTCTATCAGATAATACTTTTAAATTATAACAACCATTTATTACATTGTATATATAATAGTTTTAGCAGGTATTTTCGTATTGCACTACTCTTCAAAACCTTCTTTTACTCAGTCGTAATCTCAAGTGCTTCAGCGATCTCAGCAACATCAGCCAAAGCCTTGGCAACAGCTGGAAGAGATGTCTTACAACCGTCTTCAGATTTCACCAATCCAGTGACGAGGGGAGTCAAGTTAGCTTCGCTCAAGATATCCTAGAGATAATTTAATTATGAATGATTAATATGATAACTAATTAACATATCTAATGAACTTCCAATAAATATTCTTACCGCTCCATCCTTAAGAAGTGTAACGGTTTGATCAATATTTTTGGTGCTGGCTTGGGCAGAGGGATCTTCACCAGCAAAGGTTCTTGTAATCTCAGAAAGACCCTCTATAAGCTCAGAAACTCCAATAAAAACGTCACTGGTGAAAGTAGGAGATTCTTCACAAGTCCGTGCTAGGGATCCAGTGCTGAATTTATCTGAAAAACAAAAATTATAAAATTTAAGAATAAAAGTTTTTTTTTAAAGAAAATTCTTTTGTTTTTGCAATAATACCTGCAAACTGGCTGAATGCTTGAGATGCCTTGGCTCCTGCTGCAAAAGATGATGCGCCAACAGAGTTTGTCTTACTCAAAGCATCAAGTCCACCTCCAATATTGTTCAAGCTGGCTGCACTGGTTTTAAGACTGTCCTCGCAGGCCTTGTTGGATTTCAGGAGAGCAGAAAACTTAGGGATAAGGGGATCAACATTAGCAACAGCCTCACTTGCAGCTCTGGCTATCTTGGGTATATTCTTTTCATCTTGTTGGAAGGTTTGAATTGAGGAAAGGACAGAAACTAGTTCCTTCCTGGAGCTAGTGACAGCTTCAACCAAATCTCTAACAACATATCCAAGCTCCTCAGGGGCAACTGCACAAGGATCAGTAGATACAGTAGATGAAGTAAGTAGTTTACCGAGAAGTTTGTTTCCGGCAAGAATATCAACAGCCTTTAGGATCTTTTCTCCTTGATCAACAAAAGTGTCAACAACCTCCTCTGCAGAGTATGTAGAAAGACCATTTCTGAAGGAGTTTTTGGATGGGTCATAGTTGTAGGTCCAAGCCTTGTTGGGGTTCTCAGGATCATAGACATAACCACCATTGGCTGCTGGGTCAAAATTAAAGTCGCCAAAGAGAGAGGAAACTTCAGGATTAGATTGTACTTCATCTGCAGCTTGGAGGATGTCGTTGATAGTTTCACGAGTTCTTGATAAAACCTCTGGCTTAATCGCTGATTTGGTTAATGGAGCACTTTGAAAAACTTGGGGTTGTTCACCGGGGGTTCTGAACACTGTCGGTGTAGGTACCCGGACAACTTGGGGAGACACATTACTTGCTGAACGGGCAACTGGGATAACGCGAATGGGAAGTTCTCCACGGGCTGGGGAAGCACTTCTGAAATTGGTAAATACTTGTTGTTGAGCGTTTACCACACAAAGGAGGGGAAGCAGCATTAGCTTTGAGGCTCCCATTCTCTTGTTCTATTTGAGAAAACTGGTACTATATTTACATGCGGAGCAACTTTATGCGGCAAGTTCAGAATGGGCCCATGTCAGTTATATATAATACTGATGTATAGCGAGCTCCTAAATTTCAACATGGGCCGGTATAAGGGGTGGCAACCACTCTGTAGAGCCTCAAATTCATTTAGGAAAGATTGTTTCATTTATTTTTAATTGCTTTTTCAACACAAGTGACTACAATCTGATAAGTGATGTAGATTTTTACAGTTTTTAAAACAATCATCTTACTTTCATCATTTTATTTGATGAGAGGGGTGAAAGGCCTTTTTGAGGTCACACCTTACAAATTTTCACGCACTTGACAATAAATTTTTATATTTTTCGGTGAAAATTCTTTATGTTAATTTTAGCTTTTTTAAGAGGTTAGCGTATATATAAATGGATTGAGTCTTAGCCAAAAACTCCATTTTAAAATTTCCTATTTCTTTGAAACCTGATGGCCTAAACGTTTGATATTTCAATCTCAGACTAATTTTCTTAAATGGAAGGCCTGGTTGTTAATATAAAGGAATAAAAGTTTACATGTCTGTGTATCCATGCGCGGAACTCCTTTTGCCTTCTGCCTTTGGCTTAATTTTTTTGCATTAAAAAAAAAAAATGAATAATTTCTGTAATCTGTTTAAACCAACCTTTTTTTAATATTTTTATAATTTGTTATATTAGTTTGTTAGATATTTATTGATAACTGAAGCAAGAAACATGAGCTAGCTATAATTTAAACAATCGTAATATCCAGGGGCACAAAAATGTATTTGATGGATTGCAGGTTCAAACTGCAAGGTCAAAAGCCAGACAATGCTTAAAAGTTGGTCCTGTCTTTATACTTGATGAATAATTTTCATAACTGTGTATCACTGTGATAATAAAAGATACAGTTTATTATTTCTTCTTCCATTACCTTTTGCTTTTCTTTCTTGATAACGTTTTTTACGTAATTCCAGGATTATTTCGTAATTAAAAAGTGGTTCTATATTTGTCTCTAGTGGGACCAGTTTTCTTTAAAACTTATAAACTCGTACCCCCCCCCCTGGCAACCGGGAGTTCTAGGATGGTTTCTGTATGGTCCGACATTGCAAACAATAGTTTATCGAACCATGTATGGTAAGGTTAAATTTAACTTAGACCAATACAACAGTTTAGAATCAAAATATCTTGATTTTTAAAATTTAATTATCAATGTTTCTCAAAATATAACAAACGTTTTTAAAAACCTATAATTTCAATTTTTTATTACATAATTTACAAAATTGCAGACATAATTGTTGTACAAATTAAACATGAGCAGTAGAAAATTTTGTAAAATTTTCCTCGGTTTTTTTTCGAAACTGAAACCTAGAAAAATTGTCATGATACAAAAGAAATTCCGTTAAACTTTTAAATAATGCTTTGGTTTTGAAAAAAAAGTGAACAGAGCGAGCCCAAAAAATGAAGTCCTAAAAACTATTATTATAATTTTAAGAAATAATTATTTATCATTTTGACACGCATAAAGAAGAGAGAAAACACATTGGTATTTCACGTGGACAAATAAAAAACTTTTCTGTTTGCAGTGAATACTATAATATTTAAATTGTTATATTAAAAATTTTCACATTTTTTAGCCATCAGCAACCTGAAGAAAGAAGATAATTTTTGACAAAAAAATTTTAATTCTCAAATGTGTTTCATGAATACACAGTGTAAGATTAAAGATCTGAGTTCCTAGTTGTTTCCTGACATGTCGTCCAGAACATTTCCGCCATTAACTCTACAGACTGTGGGTAAACCAAGGAGTATGAAATAAAAATGGAGAAGGAGTCAACCTGTTCCACCTCTCCATATCAATATTTAATATATATCCTTTGCAGGTCGTATTTCTTTTGTTTCAATGTAATTCTTTCTTTACTTTACAACATTAAGTGAAAATGATTTTCTAAAATCTAAAAGATGTCTTAGCACGAAACTTAATACAGAGTATTGCAACCCAGTATCGTAAACCCGGCCTCATGAATGGGGTCAGGCAGCTTTGTAGATACCAATTTTGTGTTAAAGGGAGTGACCGGCAATGTATGGTAGTTGAACTAAGATTGCAGTATTATTGAGAAATTTTTTAGGATTCATTAATGAGACCTACCTATCAGATGTTTTTACGGTGCATATTTGTTCAGCATGAGCGCAAATTCAATATTTAAAATCCTCCTCATTGATTGTCCGTTTTGGAGGGATGATTTTGAGAATCGGTTTTTCAAAAACGACGAAGAAATATCTAACAAAATTTCTACAGTAAACTAATTAGACCTTTAGGAACATATTTTTCATTAGAAATTTGTCAATAAATCAATGTTAGAATCAATTACTTCTTTTTCGTCATTATATTGATTTTCTTATTTTTTATGAATTTTTATTCAGATTTTTTCTCCAAATTCTTCAAATGTCGTCTTTTCAGAAAAAATTCCGGGAATTCTACAGAAAATGGTTTTGAAAAACTTTACAGAAACCAATAAAATTACTTATTTTCGATGACAAGAGTTAATTTTTATTTTCTAAACCTGTTCTTAAACAACTAATTAGTTTACTGTAGAATATTTTTGATACATTTTTCGAATAATTTAAATAAAACCGATTCTGAAAATCAGCCCTCCAAAATTGAAAATCTATAGAGGATTTTAAATATTGCATTTGCACTCTTGTTGAACAAATATGCGCTGTAAAAACGTCTGATAGGTTTCAATTGATTCCTAAAAAATTTTCTCAATAATACTGCAATCTCAGTTCAACTTCCATACATTACCGGTCACTCCATTTAAACAATATTTTTTCCAGTGGTTTCTTTACATTCTCTTTAAGTTTTCTAAATTCTTAAATTTAAATCTTTGCAAATGTTAAGACCCCAAAAAGGAAACTCAGTAGTTTTGTCCAACGATACTCTTTCAAGTTTCAGGCTCTGAGCCCGAAATTTAAAAGAGTATCGTTGAACGAAGCTCCCAAGTTTCTTTTTTTGGGGTCTTAACATTTGTGCACATTTTGATTTAAGAGATTCGAAAAAAATGGAGAATAAAAACAATCTGAAAAAAATATTAATTTATTACAAAAATATTGATATTCACAAAACTGCCAAACAATATTAGTGAAATCCGGGTTTTAAAACTGGTTTCCAGAATTAAAAAAAATTGTAATTGAATATAAGAAAGCAACAAACCATATTTAAAAAACGACCTTTAATATATTTTTTCCAAATGGAGTACCAATTCTGCCAAACACGTATATATAGATATTCTCACAAGAAGGAGACAGTTCATTTGATGTACTATCCCGTTGTGCCCTCTATAGTCAGTATGTGTACTGTACAGCTTGACCTTGCCGTCCGAAGTTCAGTCTAGTACTTTAAATGGATGGGATCGTTCTCAGTGGTATATAATGATATGGTGAAGTGGATTTTCTCCTAATCCATTATATTCCATACTCCTTGAGGTAGGCTGTTAGTATTGAACGTGCTAAGCGTACTCTAAAATACGACTGCTCCATTGTATTCCCTACTCCTTGAGGTAGACTGTTAGTGTAGAACGTGCTAAGCGTTCTCTAAAATACGACTGCTCCATTGTATTCCATACTCCATAAGGTAGACTGTTAGTGTAGAACGTGCTAAGCGTACTCTAAAATACAACTCCTTCTCCATTGTATTCCATACTCCTTGAGGTAGACGTTGGTGTAAAACGTGCTAAGCGTTCTCTAAAATACGACTCCTACATTGTATTCCATACTCCTTGAAGTAGACTGTTAGTATTGAACGTGCTAAGCGTACTCTAAAATTCGACTCCTTCTCCATTGTATTCCATACTCCTTGAGGTAGACTGTTAGTATTGAACGTGCTAAGCGTACTCTAAAATACAAGTACTATGTTTATTACTTTGTAAAGATTGCTTGCTTAAATTATTATTTTATTAATATTATTAAATATTTATTTCGTACACATAGCTGTACAATAGATTAAGACTACAAAACATTGATAAATATTTATTTCATACAAAATAAAAAAAAACTATTTACAACACAAATGATGAATTATTTGGGACAGTTCATCCCTTTCATATCTGGGAATTTCAATTACATTTGATCTAACAGTTAGCAATTCCTTAAAAAAAAGGAATTTTCCTAAATTTTCATCAGAAACTTCTGCAAAAGTTAAATTACTTTTTACATGTTTTAATTTAATGTTGTAAATATGTTTAACCAAGAGTTGTCATTCAATTTTTCTGAAAAGCATTTGAAAGCAATCGGATAGCGATTTTGTTACATTTCTGTAAACTATGAAAGAATGATACAAATCGTGAACACAGCATGGTCTTTAAGTGATGGTTTTCCGAAATTGGTTTATGAAATACTGTCATTTGTGGATTTAAGGCATAAGGAAAGGATTTACGGATTAATATACGGATTAATTTACGGATTAATTTACGGATTAATTTACGGATTAATTTACGGATTAATTTACGGATTAATTTACGGATTAATTGACGGATTAATTTACGGATTAATTGACATCATTAAAGTTTTCCACTAGAGTTTATTGGACACCCCTTGATATTTGTAAATAAGTACATGGTATAATAATGTGTACTCTAAAATCAGCTTAAATAGCCCTAGGTTAGGTGTAGGTCAATTTTCCTACTATTTGCTCATTTTACACTTTTTTACCTCAAGTTTTAGAGTCTAGACTAGTGACTCTAAAGCAATTTAAAGTTTCAAATATTTTATAAAAATTCGTTAAAAACTTTGAGCTAATCAAAAGAAATTGAGTTATTGCCTCAAACTCTTATTTTTTAATCTCTAAATCTTTGCAATTCAATATAGAAGACCTTATATTTTTTCAAAATATGAATTCTGTCAGATTAAATAATCTAAGTTTAAAATATCAAATGTTCACACAATCAGGTTGCAAAGATAAATATAATTGAATAATTTGGCAAAGAATCAATTCTTTTCCACAAAAAGTCAAGAAATAATATTATAGGAAATTTATTTCCGATATAAATAAAATTGCTTTATTTTTTTCAATAGAAAATACAACTTTCTCAATCAATTTAGTATTTAAACAATCAGATAGTTGGTTTTTATGACACAAACTTGTTCATAGAGTTGGGGTCTTAGAAACACAAATAAAAATTATGTGGGGGGGGGATGGAGGGAGGGCTACAGAAAGCTTTTTTTAGTCCCAGTCTTCGTCCTCCCCTTCATCATCTGAGTCCTGGAAATACAGGATGTCCCAAAAAGCATGGGAATTCAGTGACGAATTCGATATCGTCTTTGTTATGAATTGGCATTGTAATACCTATAATTTCAAAAGCCATAATATTATTATGTCTGCTAAAGTTTATTTTATGAAAAGGTTAAAAGACTCCAAAGATGTGTCGTTAATGTCTCCACAAGATGAACAGTGAAGACGGACAAGTTTACTCTGTTTGTATACTGAAATTTTCTTGTTTTACCAATTACAACCGTATGCAGTCAAAACATAAACAAACAAATTGTGAACATAGCAGACGAAACTTTTACAAATTACAGCTTTCTCAGTAGGTATCACTTTACTAAAAAGACGATATCGAATTCGTCACTGAATTCCCATGTTTATTGGGACACACTGTATAAACTTTTAAATACAAAGTTACTATTGACATAATTTCATTTGTTAAAGGACATGTCCAATTCACTGTTTTCTTTAAAGGGAGTGACCGGCAATATATGGTAGTTGAACTGAAAGAGTAGTACTGTGGACAAATTTTTTAGGATTTAGGATTTCTACGACGTATATTTACTGAGTTTGAGCACAAAGTCGATGTTAAAAATCATGAATTTGGGTGGGTACGTTTTTAGAATCGTTTTTTTTAAATTATTAAATAACGACGACAAAAAATGTAAACACAATGCTACAGTAAACTAATTAAGTGTTTAGGAACAGGTTGAGAAAGTAAAAATTAACTGTTATCATCGAAAATAAGTAAACTTATTCAATTATTAGTTTCTATAATCTATCATTATTCACAAAGATTTTCTGCAGAGTTTCTGGAATTTTTATTGAAAAGACGACATTTGAAGAATTTGTAGAAATCTACGATCAATTTCATAGTAAATAAGAATTTCAATATAATGATGAAAACGAAATAATTGATTCAAACATTGATTTATTTCTTTGAGAAATATGTTCCTAAACATCATATTAGTTTACTGTATAATTTTTACTTTATTTTTCGTCGTCGTTATTTAATAATTTAAAAAAACCTATTCTGAAAACGTACCAACCCAAATTCATGATTTTGAACGTCGACTTTGCACTCAAACTCGGTGATTATACATCGTGGAAACGTTTTATATGTCCCAAATTAATCATAAAAAGATTTTCAACAATACTGCATACTCAGTTCAACCAAAATACAATGCCGGTCACTCCCTTTAAACCTCTGATCATGAATGGTATTGATATCCTTATTTTCTAGCTGAAAATTGATTAAACACTTGAGTTGGCACTCAACTTTCAGCTAGAAAAAATTATATTTAAAGAGTACTTTGTGAATCAGATATTCAAGTCCAAAAACGGAAGGAAACTTCAAGTCAAAGGTCATCATTAATCAATATAAATTTACATTTGACTAATAAACTTAAATTAAATTTATTAATGTCCACAAAGGATAGTTAAATCTGTGAAGAAGAAAATAAACGTGTCACTAGTTTGACAGAATTATGACATGCCCTAAAATCTTTATTTAAAAATTTTAAAATTATATTTGAGCTGTTGCAAAAATGACATGTTTGATGTTGTAACAATTACCTTTGCATCAGCAGGTGGAGGTGGAATCATATCAGATATCAAATCCCAAGTAGAAACTGGGGGTACAGATGCCACAGCTGGTTCTTTCCTCTTTAACATTATCATTATCTTGAGTTGGCATTTATGATTTCATGTGTATTGTTGAGCCCAATTATTGGTTCCAAAGATGGGATGAAAAAAAGTTAAAATAACTTTTTCTAGTTTAACAGCTATTGCCGTCTGAAGTAAAAGATACTTGTCTGAGAGGAATACCTGAAGTACATTTCCAGCCATTCCTTTTCTTCTTCTCTTCAGATTTGCCATCAGATCCCCCATTAGATCTCCTGATCCTAAGCTTGATACTGCACTTCGTTCATTTTCAAGACGTTCTCTCTCTTCCTCTTTTCTAACCTAAACAATTTTATCCATTAGATCTTCCGATCCTGAGCTTGATACTGCACTTCGTTCATTTTCAAGACACCCTCTCTCTTCCTCTTTTTTAACCATCAGATCTCCACATACTGATCTAACAATGCATTTCACCCATCTAGCTTCAAAACGCTCCTCTCCTCTTTCTTAATAACCTAATCAGTAATCAAGGCATCCATTATAGATCTCTAGATTCCAAGCTATAACAATGCACTTTTCTTTTTCTTTTCTAACCTTAAAATAGTGTTTATTAGATCTTAAGAGTCTTAGCTAACAACTGTCCTTCACGCTGAGCATGATACTCTCTCTTCTTCTGTGGCTTTCTAACCTAATTGATATAGATAAGATGATGATTAATGATTCCGGAACTTGATATTGAACTCTCTCTCTATGTCCTTTAGATCTTGCAGATCTTAAACTATATTCTGCATGTTGTTCAGTATGTATAATGTACATGCTCTCTTTCACAATACATGTGAGGATGGTATGAAATTCAAATGGCCCGTATGTTATTAAACTAGAGCAAAAACCTTCCATTTTATATCAGTATTATCTGTCATTGGAAGCATGTGAAACATTAGAAATTATAACTAAAAATGAGTATTTAGAAATTTTTGCTTTTAGATATAGCATTTTTTTTTTATTAACAACATGCAATAGGACTGATGGCCGGGGTAAATTACTACCTTTAAGGATTTGAGTCCTGCCCCTGCAGCCCCTCCTGCTGCTCGAATAGCCTCCAGCAGACCACCACGTCCATCTCCTGCATTCTCAAGAATTAAAACACAGTTTAAGAAGTAAAACAACTAGGTATGGTTAGTTTTTACATGTTTTTATGCTGAACAAATAGTTGACCCTATTTTATGTTAAGGCATTGCCCCCTTCCTATTTCTGCTGCTAATAAGAACCAAGAAAATACACATTTAAAAAAAAGAAAATCATCATTTATCCCTAAATAAAGGAACCACATTTTCATAATCCCAAAAAAAACTGATAATTTATAAGTTATAAGAGATACAGCTTTATCATTGTTTATGACATGAGGACTTGTTCTAGCTTGTGGTATAAACAAAAAAATTGTCATGATTCCAATAAACTTAATAGATTCTGATTGCTAATACTAACCTTGTGTTGATGGGGCAGCTTGGATTCCTTTGGGTCCAGAAGTAGTAGAAGTCACAGCAGCCTTTGGCGCTGAAGGTGGAGGAGAAGGAATTCCGGAAGGAACTTGGGGTGGAGGTGGTGGTGGTGGTGGAGGAGGTCCTTGTGATGAATGGGGCGATGGTGGTGGTAGTATAGGGTGTCCTTGTGCGGGTGGGGGTGGTGGAGTAGGTCCTTGTACTGCTTGAGAAGGAGGAGGTGGTGGTGTATGCTCTAGTACTGCTTCAGGAGGAGGAGGAGGTGCTGAAGTTTGAGACACTGGGGTTGATGTAGAGGCAGAAGATGAAGAAATGGGAATGGTGGAAGGAACAGTTGGTGCTGAAACTGGTATTGATCCATCTGTCAAGTCCTAAATCACAGTACTGTTAATAATATTCAAAAATTTGGATGAAAAAACAAAGACTTAACCTGATAGTCGGACTCTAAGCCGGGTATGTCAGGAAGATCTAGCATCTGATAGTTTAGTGATGGTGCAATACCAACTTCTGGGCTTTTATTGAAATCCAATCCCTAAAATAACAGTTTAGAGGGATTTGATAGTGTAGATGATATCAAAAAACTATCATTTGAGATTTAAAATAGGTGGTGAACCCTTTATTATCAAAGATAAAAAATAAGAAAATAAATTTTAACTAAACCTGTGCAATGTTGGGCAGTTCTAGATTATCTGGAAGTTGGAAGTCTGGAAGATCTCCCATATCCGGACTGTAAAACATTCCATTGCAACCAGTTGCATATGGACCTTTGGAAGCCTAGAGAAATTTTAACATTTTTCAGAGATATAATTGGATTCTAAGGGCAAAACTTTTGTTTGCCTTAGCTCCTAGGTTCAACAATTTAAATTGGGTAAAGTTGTCCATCAAAAGATGACACTTTTTACAGTAAGAGGAATCCAACGGTCTAAGTTTGAATTGTTGAGGGAAAGGAACTAAGGTTTCCGACGCAAGTGGACTTTTCTTGGACACAATTGCAAGCCCTGTAAATGCACAATTGCGCCCAATAAAATTCCGATTGGAAACCCTGAAAGGAACTGTCTGGGAGATAAAATACTAATGTTTCGCGCACAAGACATTCTTTATTTTAGTCTAAAATATTAAAATAATGATTTTTTTCCCACCTGATCCGAATCTACCGCATCGACTTGGTCTTCAACTACTGATTGTTCCATCAGGCCCCTTGGAGATACCTCTAGTGGATCAAGGGAGACTGATCTTTTCTATAATAATGGTTGAGCTCAAAACCTTATTCAAATCGTTTCCCAACAGAATCTTTCAAAGATCCATCTTTTCTATTTAAGAACACTGTCCTAGAACATCTTGGTTTAATGTGGTGAAGAATCGATCACGTGTTTTGAAACCTCGTTAAGGTCACTGGTCAATGTTCATAACAGAGGCCATTACTACAGTTTGTACTTAAATGGTCATTGAGGGTATCAAGAAAGATGAGTCTTTTTACAAATAACTAATCTGCATTTTCTGAGGAAAATAAAAAATTCAACCTTTCACCCGCATTTTTTTTACCTGGAAGGCATACTCAGAGGTGTTGAAGATAAGCAAAGAAGAACATGATCTGCACATTTTTTAAAGTAATATTTTGGAACATATAGAGATCCCTGTATATAAAGTACTGTTTCATTTTATATACAATTTAACTGAGAAATATTGCTAGCAAGTAAAAAATGTCGTTTTCTAAACATACTGATAATGGAATGCTGCAGATATTTAGTTTTTAATTAAATAACTATGGAGCTCTTTAAACCTGGTTCCGCATATTTTATTGATATATATTTATTCTTAAAATTACTGAGATTTAGGTATAATAATAAAAAATTGTCAAGATGACATTTTATAAATTCTTTTGATATCTCCGAAGTTCTGTGTTAAACTGTTTTTCTCTGAACTTGAGACGATCAGTAGACAAGTTTATAAATTCAAAAAATCGAGGAAAGGACCAGGCCAGTACAAAGGAATTGAATCTGTGCCACAAACTCTGATTTTCCAATCCTTATATCTTTACAACCCAATGTCGTAGACCTTAGATATTTCAAACTGTAAATTATGTATAGATCAAATAATCAAAGTTTGAAATTTCAAAAGTTTATATCAACAGGTTGCAAAGATATAAGCATTAGAACATTTGAGTTTGTTGCAAAGACTCAATTAATTTAGTAAAGTATTCATAACACTGTCTTTCTTAGATGGGTGTGATATGCACGAGCGTTTGGAAACAAGCTTGTCTCCAGTGGCACAACTAGGGGGGGTAAGGGGGTCTGATTCGCCCCCTCCACCTCAAGATATTTCAAGTGAAGAATTCATTAAACTCATCATTAGCTGAACATTGCACTGTAGACCTGAATTTAAATCAAATATACCTTAAATTGTGCGAGGGTGCTTGTAGGAAGTCAGGAATAGTGTTAACTGTTTCTTTTTCCTGTAGCAATAATGTTGTTAAAATTCAAATACAGGGTGTCCCACAAAACATGACATTGGCAAGACGACTTTAATGTTGTCTTTGATTTTATATATAATTTGTTGCATTTTTTTGTCAACCTAATTTCAGAAGTAAAATTCTTGAGATAACATTCAAAAAATACCCCTTAATCCTGTTATTTCCCAAATACGATCTGCCTTTTATTTTATTTTTAATTTTACCCGTGATTTAGAGATTTCTAGTTCAGATTTCGACAAAGGAATTGAGTCTTTGCCACAAACTCAAATATTAAAACCCCAATATCTTTAGAACCCAATGTTGTAAACCTTTGTTATTTCAAACTCAGGCTATTTGATCTAACAGAATTCATAGTTTGAAATATCTAAAGTTTACAACATTTTGTTTCAAAGATATAGTGATAAGAAAATCAGATTTTGTGGCACAGACTCGATTCCTTTGGTTTTATTTTAAAAAAAGGTAAAATCAGAACGAAATGCAATTTTTATATAATTTTACAAAAATTTAAAATTGCCTTGAATTGAAAATTCTTCAACTTCTTTGGAATATCTTTTGGCTCCAAGTCAGATATTTTTTCTTGGACCATTTGGTTCTCAAACTGGGATTGGAAGGAAAAGGGGGCTGTGAAAGTTCTCTGGAAGCTTTTGGAAGCATCTCTTGGATACTAAAAAAAGATTGAATTTTTTTTACAATTTATTCTTTTTAAATTTTGTTTTAATACAATTTTTATAAAATAAATGGTATAAGACATGATTCAGAATTGTTGTAAATGTAAAATTGAATTAAATATCAACCATTTTCTTTTAAACAAACAAATTTTATAGTTACAAAAATTTGATTCTTTCATTGTAACAGTATGAATGGTAAAAAAACTAGGTGTAAAAATAGTAATTTTAAAGCTGTTGTTGTTGTTTATTTCCGATATTATAAGCATTTCCGTTCTAAACGGTTTTTTTGTCTGTCCGCGGTTCTATCTGCTAACGGAAATTTCCGCAAATGTTCATAAAGTTCTATTTTTAAATAAGAAAGGAACTGATTCTTTAACACAAACTAAAATCTTGCAATCCCTGTATCTTTGCAACCTGATTGTGTAACCCTTTGATATTTTAAACTTATCCTATATTTGATCTTACAGAATTTATAGCTTGATATAACATACGACATCGGGTTGCAAAGATACAAAAATGACAAACTCGGACCTTGGGGTGAAAACTCATTTCCTTGGCTCAGGATCCTACCTTGGAGCTTGAATAGATAACTGTCTCAGGATCCTACCTTGGAGCTTGAATAGATAACTGTCGCAGGATCCTACCTTGGAGCTTGAATAGATAACTGTCGCAGGATCCTACCTTGGAGCTTGAATAGATAACTGCAGGATCCTACCTTGGAGCTTGAATAGATAACTGTCGCAGGATCCTACCTTGGAGCTTGAATAGATAACTGTCGCAGATTTAATAGTTTTGAGTAAATCAACTTTCTGGTTCACCCTTTCTATTCTTCAGAAGGAAATATCTTAAAAAACCAGGATGAGACAGGGTTACCCACAAAAAAATGCATCCCACTCTTTTAATCAACTATAGATGAATTTCACTGTAATTAGCCTATTGCAGATAAACCAATTAACTAGTTTATATTGATAAGATATTTGTTGCAGGGAACCGTAATTGTAAATCTAAGTAAAAAGATTAAATGAATTCCTTACAATCGTTTCTAAAGTTTCGGACTGTTTAATCATTTCAAATAATTTTTCTAAAATGATGTAATGTGAAATTTTAGCACTTTTTAAAAAGAACACTTTTAAATAAAAAAGTCATGTAAAGGAATTTAGCTTTTGCCAAAAACTCTTATTTTCTAATCCCATATCTTTACAACCCAATATCGTAGACCTTTGATATTTCAAAAATAATTTCTGTTAGATCAAATAATCTAAGTTTGAAATATTAAAGGTTTGATATAAGAATGAGAAAATTTGAGTTTGTGGCGAAAACTTGCAGTTCCTTTTAATCTGGGTTTTAAATAGTTCTTCCCTGTGCTCAAAGGTGTGAATTCTATCCGAGAACTCCTGTATTTTGGTATTTATTTTTCCAAATATATCAGTTGAAATAGCGGTCAGCTGCTCTAGGGATCTGGGTACAGTAATGCTCTTTAAAGGGACTGTTATAATCGTAATTTCAAGTGACCATCCATGCAATGCCGGATTTACCACGGTACCCTCAAGCTTTGTCTAATCAAATAGGAATTAGATATCAATGTTATATCGGATTCACAACAGCAAAATAATTGATTATGGAGTTATTTTTTGCCGTTCATAAAATTGATAGCTTATACTTCTTTTTTTAAGAAGGTTAACAATCTGTTTCATTTTCTACCCCGCCCCCCCCCCATGCAACCCATCTTTTATTATGGTTAAATGCTTCATGATGATATAAACATAGGTTTATTAACCGACAGTTTTTTTGGCGGAAATAAAATTAAACTAGTTCGAATCTTTTGGAGCGGATAGGTAATACGCATAAATTATTCTTAAAAAGAGTTTATATCTGGAGAACTGTATTTTATTTCGGATAAAAAATATTATAAATTTTCAAATGTGTGTTGTTCAATATGCATGTTTGGTATTTTTGTTTGTTTAAACCTTGAAGTTTAAACCTGTTTTTAAGAATACACATGAAGGTCATACACTCCATAGATGAAGGACGTTGGGATTTGGGAGTACTTGTTATATAGAGATATACAGAGAGGAGTAGGAATGGGAGTACTATATATTGAGATAGACAGTGAGGAGTAGGGATCGGAGTACTTTATATATATATATATAGATGAGAGTACTATATATATATAGAGATAGACAGTGATGAGTAGGAATGGGAAAAAAATATTTTGAAAAACAAATCTAATCTTTTTTAGCCTATAACACCCATGAGTGTCCACAAAAAATGTCGGCCCAATCGGCCATCCGTTTGGCCGGCTATAGACAACATATATATATATACGAATGTCTTGTTTTATTATATAGATATATACAGATAGACAGAGAGGAATAAGGATGGGATTAATTTATATATATATATACAGATCGACAGAGAGGAGTAAGGATAGGAGTATTTTATATGTAGAGATAGACAGAGAGGAGTAAGGATAGGAGTACTTTACATATAGAGATAGACAGTTAGGAGTAAGGATGGGATTAATTTATTTATATATATACAGATAGGCAGAAGGAGTATAAGGATAGGAGTACTTTATATATACAAATAGACAGAAGGAGTAAGGATAGGAGTACTTTATATATACAGATAGACAGAGAGGAGTATGGATTGGAGTACTTTATATACACAGATAGACAGAGAGGAGTAAGAATAGAAGTACTTTATATACACAGATAGAGAGAGAGAAGTAAGAATAGAAGTACTTTATATATATACTGATAGATAGAGAGGAGTATGGATGGGATTAATTTGCATATACAGATAGACAGAGAGATAGATAGAGAGGAGTAAGGATGGGATTAATTTATATATACAGATAGACAGAGAGGAGTAAGGATAGAAGTACTTTATATATACAGATAGATAGAGAGGAGTAAGGATGGGATTAATTTATATACACAGATAGACAGAGAGGAGTAAGGATGGGATTAATTTATATACACAGATAGACAGAGAGGAGTAAGGATAGGAGTACTTTATATACACAGATAGACAGAGAGGAGTTAAGGATGGGATTAATTTATTTATTTATATATATACAGAAAGACAGAAAGAATAAGGATAGGAGTACTTTATATGTACAGATAGACAGAGAGGAATAAGGATGGGATTAATTTACAAATATACAGATAGGCAGAGAGGAGTAAGGATAGGAGTACTTTATATACACAGATAGACAGAGAGGAGAAGGATGAGATTAATGTATATAGAGATAGACAGAGAGGAGTAAGGATGAGATTAATTTATATATACAGATAGACAGAGAGGAGTAAGGATGGGATTAGTTTATATATACAGATAGACAGAGAGGAGTAAGGATGAGATTAATTTATATATACAGATAGATAGACAGAGAGGAGTTAGGATGAGATCAATTTATATATACAGATAGACAGAGAGATAGACAGAGAGGAGTAAGGATGGGATTAATGTATATAGAGATAGACAGAGAGGAGTAAGGATGAGATTAATTTATATATACAGATAGACAGAGAGGAGTAAGGATGGGATTAATATATATACACAGATAGACAGAGAGGAGTAAGGATGGGATTAATATATATAGAGATAGACAGAGAGGAGTAAGGATGAGATTAATGTATACACAGATAGACAGAGAGGAGTAAGGATGAGATTAATTTATATATACAGATAGACAGAGAGGAGTAAGGATGGGATTAATTTATATATACAGATAGACAGAGAGGAGTAAGGATGGGATTAATAAATATAGAGATAGACAGAGAGGAGTAAGGATGAGATTAATGTATACACAGATAGACAGAGAGGAGTATGGATAGAAGTACACAGATAGAGAGAGAGGAGTAAAGATGAGATTAATATATATACTGAGTTTGACACTTTTAAACCTTGAAAACAAAATCTTCCAGGTTATTAATCAGATAAAGGGTTCAAGGGTATCGAATTGTGAATCGGGCGTTGTCATCTTTGCTTAAAAGGTTAAACTTGAAATTATGTGTATAGTTCCTTTAAATGATGAGACCTAACTCATCCAATCTTGGCGTTTAAAAGTGAAATTAAGTCTGCAGCTTTGATAGTAATTATGATTTGCAATTTAAAAATCTTAATATGACAAATTGCCTAATAATAAGCATTATATGTTTCCTAATAGAAGCTTGTCTAGTCTCTTCTTTCCTAAATAATTGCATTGCTGTAATACATACTAATACTAATAATAATAATAATAAATAATAATAATAATAATAATAATAATAATAATGATTATTTTGCAGTATTAACATTAATGTTTTTCTGAATCGTAAGCTTACTTTTTTCTTAACATAGAATTCAACATTTTTTCTTTTTCCAATCTTTTGAAATTTCTTGTTTTAAAACTTGTGGGTGGGTGGGTGTTTGTTTATATCCAATAAACGTCAAATCGCCTGTGCCGATCCGGGCCAAATTTTTTGTGGGACCTCACATGACCCCAGGGAAGGTTTATGGAGGCTAAAAATTACAAAAATGCTTATTCAAAAGCTTTAAAAATGCGCTAAAAAAATATTATTAAATCCGCGAAGTTTTTTTGTTATTTTTTTATACTGTACAAAGAGAAGATGCTTACATATAGAGCCACAATAAAAAGTTGAATTACAGGATGGGCGCGAACTACTCTTAAAGTCTAGTATTTTAAATTTCTATACTCATGGAAGAAATACTCCATGTCAGGTCCCCCAATTGCGTAAGTTTTTTTTATTTTCTTAACAAATGTTCTAATTGCTAATGTTTAGTTACCCCACCCCACCCAAGAAGAATCAACCTCATCCTAGAAATAAGAAAATCAAAAATAATCCTAGATAAATTGAACAATTTTCAGCATTACAGTCTGCATTAGCGATCTATATTCTTGTATATCTATGAATATAATGCTAGATCTATATTCTTGTATATCTATGAATATAATGCTAGATCTATATTCTTGTATATCTATGAATATAATGCTAGAATTATATTCTTGTATATCTATGAATATAATGCTAGATCTATATTCTTGTATATCTATGAATATAATGCTAGATCTATATTCTTGTATATCTATGAATATAATGCATATTTTTCCCTGAGATCCGAGGTAACAGTGTAGATTGTATATTGAGAGCTCTTCATTGTTATTCTCTAAATTTTCAACTTTTATATTACAGGGTGTCCCTTTAAACATGACATGTTATACTTTTTATTCCGCATATATCAACTTTTTATATTACAGGGTGTCCCTTTAAACATGACATTTTATACTTTTTATTCCGTATATATGAATTTTTTATATTAAAGGGTGTCTCGATAAACGTATTAACATTTGAATCTTTTGACAAAGTATATTTTTTTTGATAACATTACTACTGCTGTAAACCTTAAAAACTCACGAATTGTGATATACCAATTATTTAGAAAGATAAGATTTTCTAGGAAATAACAAAGTTGTTTTTCACCATTTTTATTTTAACTCCTTGATTTTTTCGTGTGTAACGATTAGCCTACTTGCTTAAAACTGTTTATATAGGAGGGAGTTTGCAAAGATAAAAATATTTTTCCTAACGACGACATTTGAGAACAACTTTTTGACAATTGAAAAAATGTAAACCAAAGTTTTAATGCAAGGAAAGTTATTTCAGAGGTGTGCGAATATTTTGTACTGTCTCTGGGCGGTAATGTAAACACAAGACAGATGTCGAAGCCTTACATGGGATCCATCTTTCACATAAAAAATCAATGACATATTCTGGTCAGAGGAAACTATTATGTGAATTATCAAAATTATCAAAATTTAATACTTTTAACCTCCTCGGATACTAATTGAACACTGATGCATCTATTATTGTTTACAAAATCCGCCCAGAGAGAACTGGTTTCAATATGTACGCACAGTATGCGCAACAGCAATTAACTTTCCTTGAATTATAACCTTGGTGTAATCAAACTATTTTCAAACTGATTTTGAGTGACTTTTGAATTTAAAATATATGTCATTAAGGTATTGACGATCTATTTCTTTAAATTCTTGCTTCATAAATATATTTGCCAGAAGAACACAACAATATAATGATGAAAATTATGTTAAAAATAAAAGTAAAAATTATGTTTAAAGGGAGTGTTTACGAAAAATGAATGGGGGGTATAGGCTTACGTCGAAAAAAATTCGATGGTGATTGCTACTATAATCTTATTTCTATCTGCTGCGTCTATAATTGTAAAAAAGACTTGGTATAAGTAAGAACGTAGCATATGTTCATACAAATTCAGAAAATCTATTTATTTCCAAACAAATCATTTAGATATTACAACCTATAATCATCAATTTTTTTGACGCATTCGTATTAAGTTAATAATACGAATAATTTATAATATTTTATATTTTATTATGATCCGAGAGTTATTTTTGAAAACATTCATTCCTGTTTCGATGATTTTTGATAAAAAAACCGATATTTTCATATTTTCCATGATTGTTTGAAAATCCAGCGCCAGCTGTGAAAACAAGTTGTTAGCGAAATATTAATTTAAAAAAAAAATCAAAATTATTATAAATATCAACTATATAAGAATGCGTCAAAAAAAATCGATGATTTCAAAGGTTTTCATTTTTCGCGAACACTCCCTTTAATAAAAATATTAATGATCATAATAATGATTATATGATAGAAATAATAATAAAAATAATATTAATTGTAATGATGTATAATAAAAGTAATATTAATAACAATAATAAAAAATAATAAAAAAAAATAAGAAAAACCTGTCATTATATAATTGTTAACACAAATTCGAAATATAAGGAAGACGATTTTACCGACTCAGATGCCGTGGTCTATTCTCAAGACGTGTGTATCCATTTCCGCTATGAAGCACCCACATGTCCCCCTCGCTTCTTGTTCCCTCCTCACCCCTCTACACATCCCAGCCCTCAGTCAGGTTAGGAGAGTTGAGCTAGTAACAGCTCTGACACAGGGAGCCTATTGACTCCTTCATGATGATGACGCAGATACTCATGTAGCAGGCGTGCTTATACCCGAGGGTTCCCAGTTCATCATGCATTCCAGAGACAACATAATCGTTCATAGCCAGCATGACAAGCCGCGATCTCTTCCTACTGATTTTGATAAGCCCTGTTGTCCCAGTTCCTGTTGATCTGCTCCACCAACATGAAGCTCTACAACACTCCCATGAAGTGCCATCAAATATTCATCATTAATTCCTTTGTTAATTTCTAAATCAACCAATTTTAACTCCGTCTTATATGCAAATATTTCAAAACTTTCGTTTTATTAAATAAATGTTAGAAATATCCATTTTAGATCTCTTTATTTTACTATAGTGACTTTTAAAGTCAACAATAATATATTAGTAATGAAAAAAAATATTTATAATAATAATGAAAACAATAAAAATGATAACTGTAGTATGTTAAACGCAGCAATCCTAAGTTTATTTTGTTTATATAATTTGCTCTGCCAATTTTCCTTTTCTGACAAATAAAGTATCATTTTATAATGAACCCACAAAATATGATAATTCAGAGACGACTGCAGGAATTAATAGTAACTGTTTCCTTATATTCATGATTCCCTGCAACCATAAACTTTTTACATTCTTGCGGTGCAAAACTATTAAATTAGCTATTGAATGTCTATATTCATGAAAAAATTTAATAATTTAACTTTGAGTTTCACGTTTTCTTTTCATTCCCATCCTTTGTGGGTAACCCTGTATATTTTCATGAATCATTCAGTTTTCGTACTTTCAATATCATAGAGTTTGTCGTCGAACCCCTGTTTATCCAGTTTTTCTTCATTATTAGTGACTTTTAGAGTCTCAAAAATATTGTTTATTTTATAGTTTAATATTTTCTCCAGATTAAAGAATGATATATCTATATTTACATATATTTATCATGTTTCATATTGTCATGTTTCCGATTTCCTATTATTATTTATCACATTTTTATTAAAAATTACAGCATTACGAATTGTATACATATTGTTTGATTTACTTACACAGCTCTTCAGTCTTCAGGTTATATCAATCAACAGGGACGTATTCAGGAATTTGTCCAGTGGGGACTTAAATTTTTTTTTCTCTTTCCAGGGGGGGCTCAGCAACCGTTGGGGCCTGAAAACACCCTGAATTCAATAGATTTAACTGGTCCAGGGGGGGATATGGGGGCTACGCCCCCCCCCCTGAATACGCCTCTGTCAATCAAATATTTTTTATTTATTATCCATTCCAAATATCATTGAATCCATCGGGGGTTTAAATTTTCATTGATTCTAATTTGTCTGAGAGTAAACAAAACATTGGTCAAAATAGGGCTAAAAGTAAAACTGTAAAGTATATTTTTTTGAATAAAAAATTAAGCAATTCAACATACAAACAAAAAGTCCTAAAATATATTTTTAAATTGGCATTTCGTTAAAAGTAATTTAAAATTAGGCTTTTTTTGACTAGATTCAAGAAAAATTTAATTTTCAGTATTTGTACCACATTTTATAATTTCTTATACAAACACACAATTGTAATCTTTCGTGCAGGAACTACAATGTAAACGCATATACAAAATAATATGACTATTTATGTGTTGAAAGCTTGTACAGATACAATATTTTGAACAAATTTGGCGAGACATTGTGAAAAAGAAATTCATAAATGAGATTCTTAAATAGAAGGACCGGATTGTTTGTTGATTATTGTTTTGTTTTCAAATTTCTTTTTTAAATACATTTTCTTTACATATAAAATGATTCTATATAAATGTATAATTGTTACAGAGATTACTATATAATAATATGTTTAAGAACTGAGTTATTGCCGCAAACTCGTAATTTTTAATCCTTATAGTTTATACCTCTGCTCCCCAATCCTTATAGTTTATTCCTCTGCCCCCCAAATCCTTATAGTTTATACCTCTGCCCTCCAATCCTTATAGTTTATACCTCTGCCCCCCAATCCTTATATTTTATACCTCTGCTTCCCAATCCTTATAGTTTATACCTCTGCTCCCCAATCCTTATAGTTTATACCTCTGCCCCCCAATCCTTATAGTTTATACCTCTGCCCCCCAATCCTTATAGTTTATACCATGTTAATACCTCTGCCTCCCTGCTCCACAATCCAAAATTTAGGCATTAGAAAATTTGGGGTTGGGGCATAAACATTTTTACAGTGTAAAGGTGTGGGCACCATATTTATATTTTTACAGCGTAAAGCTGATGGTACCATATCTCCATTTTTACAGTTTAAAGGTGTGGGCACCATATTTACATTTTTTCAGTGTAAAGCTGATGGCACCATATTTACATTTTTACAGTGTAAAGCTGTGGCGTGGGCACCATATTTACATTTTTACAGTGTAAAGTTGTGGGCACCATATTAACATTTTTTCAGTGTAAAGCTGATGGTACCATATTTACATTTTTACAGTGTAAAGCTGTCGGCACCATTTTTACATTTTTACAGTGTAAAGCGAGAATTGAAAGTTTATTTTATACAACTTCTTAATTTACTCTCTTTTAGAGCTGATATTTTCATGATTCCTTCTTATGGACTGAAGGATTGTTGTTGATGTTGTTGTTGTTTATTTGTTGTTGTTGATGTTGTTGGTGTTGTTGTTTTACAGGCACAAGGGAGAGGAGAACAGTATAAATTCCAATCAAAGAAAATATCACGACCGCCTAAAAATTAATTAAAATTTGCATACAAAATTGTATACAAAATTTACCGCTTAAGGGAGAAAAAGTAAATTATTATTGTAATAAATATCAGTGTTTGAAGTAAATGGGGTAAAGGTTTAAGCCTAAAAGTTTTAGGAGTTTATCGCGACCAATATTAGTTTTATCTGATTTGTCAAAGTATACACATATATACACATCACAATATGGCCGACGATTCCACGTGACCAGATACCGGCAATTGCTGAAAAATTCTGGTCACGTGATACAGACGTAACAATTATATTATCAATTATATTGTATTAAAAATGAAAAATTGTATTATTTCAAATTATAATAGGAGGGTACCTTAACATTTTAGGCGCCTCTGAGTTATCCTTATTTGTCCAGATTTGTTCTTTGTTTTCTGAATATGATCTGTTTAAAACTTTGATTCATATACCATGCATATATTATATATATGAGTTTTGGTATATCTTTGATACAGTTTTTTTTACCAATTTCTCGAGACAGGGACATCAGACAGAACTGATATTGGTCGCGATCAACACTTAAAATGTTGAGCCTATACCCCCTTTCATTTTACTTTAAACAGCCCATTCAATTGACATATTTTGTGCTGCAGGTCGTCTTTAAATTTTTATTTTACCTGATTCCACCCTGCGTGGAGTATATAGTTTTCTCCGTAGAAAGGATCAGTCGGAGATGGGCAGAGAACTGTTGATATATTTACACCTCAAATTAAATCAAAATTTATTAATTATCCAAATTTTTGGGAATTATGATTACAACAATAGAAATCTTATCGCTCAAAGATGCATTATATTTATACCAATTTTGGTTTATTTTGACGAAATTTTTTTCTGGGTTTCATTTGTGATTTGATTTACACATAAGAATCAAAAATCTAATTGAGTTTGAAAAAAATATTCTGAACACTTTTTGAAAGTGTATAAAAGAAACCTTTACAAATGGTGAAATGATGATTTCAGCATTTCTAAAAAAACGGCACATAGTTTCACCCTTCTAAATTATACATAATAGCCGGATCCTAATCTGGCTGTTCATTTTGCTCATATTTTATATGTAATATTTGCCAGTACAATATAATTGTCATCGACTTGTTTTAAAGATTTTTTATTTTCTTAAAGGAACTGTTAGTGTGAAAGTTTTATTTACCTAGAACACAAGATATTGGCTGAAGAATGAAAATATGGTAAATCATGAATACTGAGTACGCCAGGACACTGTACGCAAACTAGACAATATGGTAGATCATGAATACTGAGTACGCCAGGACAGTGTGCGCAAACTAGAAAATATGGCAGGTCATGAATACTGAGTACTAAATATGGTAGATCATGAATACTGAGTACGCCAGGACACTGTACGCAAACTAGAAAATATGGTAGATCATGAATACTGAGTACGCCAGGACACTGCGCAAACTAGAAAATATGTTAGATCATGAATACTAAGTACGCCAGGACACTGTGTGCAAACTAGGAAATATGGTAGATCATGAATACTTAGTACGCCAAGACACTGTACGCAAACTAGAAAATATGGTAGATCATGAATACTGAGTACGCCAGGACACTGTACGCAAACTAGAAAATATGGTAGGTCATGAATACTGAGTACACCAGGACACTGTGTGCAAGCTAGAAAATATGGTAGATCATGAATACTGAGTACACCAGGACACTGTGTGCAAGCTAGAAAATATGGTAGGTCATGAATACTGAGTACACCAGGACACTGTGCGCAAACTAGAAAATATGGTAGATCATGAATACTGAGTACGCCAGGACACTGTGCGCAAACTGGAAAATATGGTAGGTCATGAATACTGAGTACGCCAGGACACTGTACGCAAACTAGAAAATATGGCAGGTCATGAATACTGAGTACGCCAGGACACTGTACGCAAACTCGAAAATATGGTAGGTCATGAATACTGAGTACGCCAGGACACTGTACGCAAACTAGAAAATATGGTAGAACATGAATACTGAGTAGTGAGTACGCCAGGACACTGTACGCAAACTAGAAAATATGGTAGGTCATGAATACTGAGTAC